TTAGGTAGGTGATTTCAAAGCTTCCTTGCAGAACTATATTATTTCTATAGTTCTATCCCTATGGTAACACTCGGCAAAAAGAGGTATGGTTGCCTTCCATGTCATTATCCTCCAATATTAGTGATCACTCAAGACCTTCCTGGCCACCATTTAACCACTGATTCGTCTTATTTGAATACATCAAATACTCTCTCTTTCCATTTTCCTTCTTTGTTTCTATCTCAGTAGCCTTCATTCATTTGGCACCTTCTATTGGTTAGATGCCATCCTATTGTATATCATTTACTTCATATATTACCTCTAATCTCTATAATACTGTAAGAAAATATGATGATGATGACTATTTTACAGATAAAGAAACTAAAGCTCAGACAGGTCAAGGTCATATAACTAGTAAGTGTTGGTGCCAAAATTTGAACCCATAGCCTCTGATTCCATAGCCTCTTTCCATTACATCTCACTGCAATCTTGTTACATTCCATGTTTATTTCCTATTCTATTAGATGTCTCAGTGAGTTTCTCTATTGGGATCTTGTGGTTTCATCCTCATTTGGCAGGTTGGCAGAAAAGGCCATACATGTTGTCCGGGCCTTAAATACCCTCCCCAAATAGGTTATACTGTAGCTAACAGTTCAAACTGAGAAGGTAACAAACACAAGCTTGCTGTCAGGTCACATCCTATTACTTAGTTTTCCCCTAATTCTCAATATACTGGGAATTCAATTCAACAGATTTAAGACCAAGCAATTTTTCAGACACAAGGCAAAGCCCTCTGATATCAAGGTTGGATAGCCATTGGTAGGAACTTTTCCAACTTGACCGTTCTCCTTTGGTGCTGTCTTCAGGTTGCAAGTTATTTCCCATTTCAAAGGCTCTGTTTAAAAAAAAAGGGGGCACAGGCTACTGAATAGCCTGTGGGGGAATGCCCATTGTGTGTACTAAGGGGAGGGTATGCGTGTGTCTGAAACCTCATCAGCAATTTTGAAGTTTGTGTGCTGGGATCTCTCTCCTTCCTGATCCTGATGTGGCCAAGAGCCTCATGACCTGTATGATGCAAGGCCGGCCTCTGTGGATATCTCTGCTCAGTTTTTCTTTAGCACTACCAAGATTGTTAAGGTCGGCAGTGGGTACTGGGCATTCTCTGACTTCTGACTGATACAATGTCAGTTACACTCAGTATAGTGGGTTCATTAAGGGAAGCCTGCTTTCACACTGAATAGGGAAATTAAGTCTCCTCCTCACTAGAATTTGCTATAGGCTGACTGAAGACATACAAGGCCCTAGCTCCAGGCTTATGGTTAAAACTATCTGGAGATAAGCAGAACTAACAAATGCCTGTTGTCATCAAAAAGAAACTTTCATCAGAAAGTGAGTAACCATTTACTGATTGTTTATTATGTGCCAGACATTGGACAATCATCTCATTTCACCCTCACATCAGCTTTATGAGGTGGATAGTGTTATCCCCATTTTACAGATAAGAAAATTGAGGTTCAGAGAGATTAAGTAATGTGTATATGTTTACACATTAGTGGTCGATGGAACTGAAATCCAGGTCTCTCTTACCTCAAGACCTATGTCAGGCCCTTCCTCTCCAGAGACCTCAGGGGAGGGGTTTAGGCTCCCCTCTTCCCCCCAGTTTGTTCTTCCCTAAACTAAGGCTATTTGGGTCTTCCACTTAAATCCAGAAGATGGTCCTTTGTGGTGAAGAATCATTTATGTACATAGGATCTTTGAGATAGTTAGAAATAGGTAGGTACTTCCTGGGCTGTGAAAACAGTTACTCTTGAGCCCCAGGAGCTGTCCAGGTAGCTGTGTAGCCATTGGGATGACATGTTTCCATCACTTGTATGTTACTTTCAGGAACTCAAAATTTTGATTCCCATGTCATTTTTTTTTAAAGGATTAATTTTTTTTTAAGATTTTTTAATTGGGGAATTGGGGGATGGGAACAGCGCTGGGGAATTGGGGGAAGGGGAACAGACAAGTTGCTGTCCTTTTGTTCTTCAGTCTAGTTGTGGAGGATGTTGCTTCACTGGCCCAAATTGGCACCATCATTGCGCTCTTCCCCGGCGAGGCAGATCAGTCGCCGGCTTCTAGACAGCTGCTCACGCTGGCTGCTGGCTACACATGGTAGCTCATGGCAACCCACTGCAGCCTACGCCGGTCACCGGCGATTCACAGAGCCCAGCTCCAGGTCGAGCTGTTGTTCAGCATCTTAGCTGTAGAGGGCAGTGTCACTAGCCCTCGTGTGGGATCCAAACCGGGGCCCTCTGGCGTCCCAAGCCAGCTCTTAACCAACGTGCCACTCGGCCAGCCCTGATTCCCATGTCATTTTAAGAAGGTGAATTCAAGCTCCATTTTATAGAGAGAAGGGCTGAGGCTAAGCAAGGTTAGGTGAATTGTCTGAGATCCCATAGTAAGAGTGGGACTCCCAGTTCAGTTCTGTCAGGCCCCTTGCCAGGACACAGGTTCCTGTCTATTGAGGGTCATAGGTGGAGATGTAAGGACTACTTAGAGAACATGTGGCTTATAGGTGATTTACTGACTTTGGAGCTACCTTGAGCTGAGGTGATAGGCGTGGTTCTGGGAGGCCCATACATAAACCCAACAGCTGATGAACGAAGGTGGGCTTCTACTTGGGAGATAGACTTACTTATGGATTAGGGAGGGAATCTCAGCCAAGGAGCAGCCCTGAAGCCAGAGACTGAGGCTGCAAATTATAGTAAAACCTAAGGCCTTCAGGCACAAGGGTTCTTGGAGGTTGCCCTCTGACTAAGTGATGCCCTTGCCACATCCCAGTCCAGTGTTGAGTGTGAGGTGCAAATGGAGCATGTTCCTAAAGTTTGAAACTACAGAAAGCGAAGTCCCAGACTAGGAAAGTACCCCTAGTGATCCAAAGCCCCAAGTGGGCTGGAGCCCAGATTTGAGCTGAGAATGTCTTGTTCTCTTGGGAATTTAAGAGAAGTGATGAGGGCAGGAGATGGCAGAGGCTGGGCAAACTAAAGGGCAACTTTCCTGTGGGTAAAAGAGGGCAAGAGGAAGTAAGGTCTGGACAAGAGGAGAGCTGAGATGATGCATGAAGTCCGTCAAGGCCTCTGGTTTCCTTCCAAGTTGCTGACAGCTCGGGGGCCTTCTTTGCTTTCACCTCTCTGTGAGAAACTGAACTAAGCTGTTCTGGCAAAAGCCAACTTTACTGGGAAAGGAAAATTCCCTGTTCTGAGTGAGATTTTAGACCTCCCACTCTGCCCTAGCAAGAAGCCAAAGCCCAGGTGATCAAGGCAGCCTTGCCTGAGGCCTGAGGCTCTCAGGATGTAGCATCTCTTGATGCGCTCCACCTTCTTCTCAGAAATTGGCTTAGCATGGCGTTTGTCTTGGTACCTGACACCCCTCAGGGAAGGCTGAGCCCAAGTTGCTGGGTCCTGGGCATTGTTGGATGCTGCTCATTGTTCAGGGTTTGGGAAAGCATTTATTATTCTATTCTGCCTGGTTCCTGGGGGCTGGTTCCATCTTGGAGGAATTTTGCCTTTTTCCGGGCTTGAGCCGTTCACTTCTGAGCCAAGACCTTGGCTGTAGATATTCCAGTCACAAGCATAGCCCATGTGCATGAGACGGCCAGCTTACTTTGCGGGTGACTGCCATTGCTGGGTACTCGTCCTCCTGCTGACAGAGCTGACAAATGGAATTAGAAGCAAAGGAGCCAGCTCATACTGGGGTCTGGGATACATAGCCAGGCAAAGTCACTGTGAGGAGCTGGGTACCTGGAGGTAATGAGCCTGAGCTTGGACCACACCTTTGCCCTAGCTGCCCCTTTCCCCCAAACTCAGAGACACAAGCCTTCCCAGTGTTCTCCATCCGTACTCTCGCCTCAGGAATTCTGGGTAGGCAGGCAGAAGTGTGTTTGCTACCAAGTAAAGTTTGCCCTGGTACAAGACTGAACTGATGGGGAAAACAGCCCAGAGGCACTTTTGCACTCCTCAGGAGTCCATTCCCATCTAGCTTATTCCCTTCACCCCTGTCTGCTGTTGGAGCTAAGCCTCCCTCATCACTCACTCATTCCTCCCAAGCTCCCTACTGAGCTAGGAGCTCTCCATGACCTCATAGACTTCACTCCCTGGTCAGATCAACTTGCAAAATAGCTATCACCCAGATTACCAGAGTGAACAGTCATTCTCTCCCTTGGCCTCTCCTTTCTGCCTGGCTCGTTTCTTCGAACTTGATGTAGTGCCTTTTCCTAATTGTCCTTGCCTCTAATTCATGGTTGTATAAACTGAGGTTATATCAGGACTGGCTATGGTAGTCCTTTCCTTTTGGAACCACAGAAATCCAAGGTTCCTAGAGTCAGTGGAGGTTTGAATCCCCATCCTAGAAAGTCAGAGAGAGGCGTGGTGGGGGAGAGACCCTCCTCATCAGAACAAATGATGAGGTTACCTCTAGTTTAGTCTAGAAAGTGTCCTGAACACCCCAAGGCTGGGATTTCCAAAAGTTCGATCCAGGTAATGGATAGGAAGACTGAGTTGGCATTGAGAGACGGAAACAAGTGGCAGATGGTGCTGAGGGACATCCCAGGACTGAAGAAATGCAGCTCCCAGAAAAGGAAAGTCTTATTCAGCAGCTGTGACAGCCTGGCCAGAGAAAGCTGCAGGGTATGGCCGAGAGCAAATTTATGGTGTGGCGACAGTGGTGAGCTTAGACACTTGCTATTCTGTCACCTCTTCTCATGTGCTTTTACCATACCCAGAGTAAACAGCCTTGTTGGCCAGGCTGGACTGGTCAGGAAAAGTAGGGAACGGAAGAGATTAGAAAGTGGTCCCAGAAGCCTGAGGAATTGCTCTCTGTGGCCAGAGTTTCTTTCTGCGTGATAAGTAGTGAGCAAGGTCTCTTGGGGGTGTTGCCCCAGACTAAATCCAATGCAGGAGGGCAGCAGGTGGGGCATGCACTGGAACCAAGTTACCTAGGGTTTGCATGGCTTAAGCCTGCCTGGTCTCTGACCTCCCCAGGTGCTTGAAGTAGTGCGAGCCAACTATGACACCCTCACGCTGAAGCTGCAGGATGGCCTGGACCAGTATGAGCGCTATTCGGAGCAGCACAAGGAAGCTGCCTTCTTCAAAGAGCTGGTGAGTCTGCCCTGCTTTGGTCTCTGCCTGTGTCTTTTGGGGGCCCTTTCCCAGCCACTGGGTTCTATTGTGCAGGTAAGCATCTTGGGAACAACTACAGTTTGCCAGAGGCAGATAAGATAAGACTTGAGGGGTCTGCTGGGGTTGGTGTGTGACTTCTCTCTCAAAGCAGTCCAGGACCAGGCAGTGAGAGAGAGAGAACATACTCCCCAGGGTACTGGTGCCAGGCCGGGAAGGGTGAGAAGCCTGAGGCAGCATTGCCCACCTCTCTTCTGCAGCCATGGAGACAGCCCTTGCACAGCTCCAGCTGGGCCTGGGGTTTGACGTGTGTTCCCAGTGGCAGCTCTGGCTCATTACTCCTTATCCTGTCCTCAGAGCAACTAATGAGAGTAATTGATTCATCTCCTCCTTATACAGTCACTTCCTAAATTCCTAACTGCTTCCTGGTCTGAGTGCCCTCCCAATCTAGTCCTCCAGTCTTCACTTTTACTCCTTACCCCCGTTCCCACTTTCCAACTCAGCTGCCTGCAGCCCCCATCCTTGGCCACCTGGATGGAGCCAGTGAGCATTTGCTCTGCCTCCTATCCTACTCTACCTCCCAGTCAGCCTCACAGAACTGGACTCTCCCTATTGATGGTCCCTCTCAGCCTCTCTGTAGTCCTGCCAGTCTGCCTGCATCCTTGCTGGAGGCTGAGCTCAGGACACACAGGCCTCTGTACCTACTTCCCATGTCCTCAGACCTCCCGCTCTGGGGCAGAAATCGCATCAGCCCAGCTTTTACTACCCTCTGCCAAGTCCTTGATTAAGGCGCAGGAGTTTCGCTCATCTCTCTTGTGTTAAACGCAGCCCAGCTCTGACCCTGACATGACATTCCTGGGATTTTGGACTTCCCCGGGGTGCAGAAGACATGCTCTGGGGTGACTTTGTTGGCAAAAAGGGAAGCCATTAGTGTAAGGAGATAGCAGAGTATTTTTAGGGGGTAGTTAGGCAAGTCTTGAAGTTGATGCGGGGGAACTACTGGCGGCCAAGAGTTAACAAAGAGAGTCAGTTGCTGGGAGATGAAGAGGGTTGTGCAGGGGCGAGTTAGTGGAGCAGCTCTGTCTCAGGCTCCTTGGCACTAGCCTCTGGTTAACTCAGCTCTTCTTATATCTGTACTTCTGGCACAGGGGAGCTAAAGAGGGTCTGGTTGGGTTTGGAGCTAATGAGCTTCAGCTGCCTGCTGTTTGCCAGGCTGCCCTTTCCTTTGCTTTTAGCCTGGCCACTTCATTAAGCTTCCCATAGCAAAACAGAAATGGAAGGAAAGCTCTCTGAACTTCAGGGCCCAGCACAGATAAATGTTCTCTTCCTCCCTTGCTCCCCACCCCCTCATTTGTCTGTCATACAACATTCACATCTATTTCCCATGAATGAATCTCCTTCCGGAGTCTGCTGGGTCCCCCTTAGGACGCACTCAGAGTGGGGAGGTTGGCCCTCTGACCCCTTCTCCACAGGTCCTTTCCCCTGCTGACAGGCACCACTTCCTGCAAGGTTCTCAGTGTATGGGTAGAAAGCATGTGAGCAGAACGGGGGTGGGGGACACAGCAAGGGTATACCCCAGACATTCCTCTAAAGTGGGGAGGCATCTTTGTGGTATAGAAAGAATGCTGGACTAGAAGTTAAGAAACGTGGGTCCTGCCCCAAGCCTGGGGACTCACCAGCTGTACGACCTGAGCCTGGTCATTGGCCTCCTTGGATCATACTTCTGCCACCTATGCCAGACAAGGGCTGCATCTCAAAACATTCTTTCCAACCCCAAAAAGTAGATAAATACAAAGGGAGAGTGAGGAGACCAGAGACACATCCAAAGGGACGCAACTCAGAGTGTGAGTCTGCTGCTATAGGCTTCTCCCGCTCCATTAGACCGCTGACCAGACCAGTTACCCTTCGGCACAGCCAAGGCAAGACAGAGGCCTGCCCTGCCCTCCTTCCCTGTCTGTGCCTGCTTCTACCTCTTCAGGTGCTCAGATGCTCCTCTCGGACCCATTACCATTTGTCTCAGCCTCTCTCCTTCCCACTGTCACGGAACGGTTTGCTCACTTGCCTGCAGAAAGGATAGCTGTTAAGGTTCATTTCCTAAGAGAGAAACTTCTAGCACTGCAGTTTGGCCTTGTGCCTCAGGCACTGCCCTCTACTGTTTGTAACCAACTCTCTTCTCTCTCTGCCTGTGCCCTCCTCCTTTCCGCCACCCTTTCCCAGGTTCGATCCATTAGCACCAACGTCCGGAGAAACCTGGCCTTCCACACACTCAGCCAGGAAGTCCTGCTCAAGGAGTTCTCCACTATCTCCTGAGGCCACGCCTACCTGAGCAGCCACTGACTGCCCTTACCCATGAGGCTTCTGGGCTGGAGGGGGAGTGAGGGGACAGGGGGCTGTCCCCAAGGTTGGAGAACAACACGGATACTGAGTTCTCTCAGCGAAGGCTGCACTTCAGTGGAGCTTGGACAGCAGGGGCCAGGAGGGACAAGCCAGGGATAATGTTATTTGGGGAGGGATGGGTGGGTACAGGGAGAGAAGCCTTCAAGAATGTGGGGACTTCCAGGGTGGGCTCCCTGGACACCCCCTCACATTTCCAATTGAGATTACCAGTGGTGGCTACTGTCTAATTTCCAGGAGCTGTTAGGGCCAGCCTTAGGGTGATGCCAACACCCTGAGGGTCAGTGGCTCTCCTGAGCTTCTGAAAACAGACTAACTCTCAGATGTATGTGGAACCAGTTCTTCCTGTAGGCCTGGGGCTAAGCGGGGCTTGACATTTGTATCCCCTGCCCCCACTGGCACTCTGTCCAGTTATTAGGACCCTTAGCTCAGGCGTACAATAGGGTAGGAATGGGGTACCTTTTTTCTATTTTCTAAACCCAGAGCTGATTCCTCTGGGAGACTGGAGATTAGAATCCACCCAGTGCTCTGCTGGCTGGCCACCACTTTCTGGATTTGACTTTTGCTACCAGGAGTACTGTTAGCTTTCCCCTGCCTTCCAGCCTATTGACTCGTCAACACTATAGGGTCACAACCTTAGCTTTCCATTTTCAGCCTGGTTTAAACTGTCTTTAGGGTGTGTGTATGAAATAAACATTGACAGGTTGTTCTGGAGCCCTCAGGTGCCTACTTTGCTGGTTCCCTTTCCAGCAGCTTCCCCACCTCCCCAGCCACCCCTCCTCTGGGAGCCTCTCCCCCCTCCCTGTGTTCCACCCCCTCACCCTGCTGTTGTTTACATCCAGCCTGCCTGAGAATTTCCTCTGGGGAAGAATCTGTTCATGCTATGGTTTGGTGCCTGGGAGGGAGAGAACCTGCTGGGGGCAGCTACCCTCCGTCTGAAAGAGGCCAGGTGAGCATCACGGAGAGGCCATTCTGTCTACTGGTATTCTGGGTGGAGCCACAGGCAAGGCTCCTGATGTTTGGCAAGTTGGCCTGTGGTTCCTCTGGACGGCCTCCACGCGACCACTGTAGGCTTTCCCTACCCCACAGCTGCCGCTGAAGCAGCTGCTGCTCTGAGACCCCCCCTTTCAAAAGCACTTTCTAAAGCCCTCAGGGTGGCAGGGAGCAGGCATCACGGGAAGAATCTGGAGGTGCAGGGATCCAGCAGTGAGAGCAGGTCTGGGACCTCCTCAGCTGCTGTTCTACTTAGGCTTCAAATCTCTGTGGGATACTTGCCCTCCCTGGGAACCAGAGCTCTGGCTCTGACATTGAGCAGATATGCACTATTACCAGAGAACCCAGCAACGTGCTGCCATGTGTAGATTCTTAAGAGATCAGAGGCTGGGTCTCCTCTGATCACCAGATGGATAGTTCAGCTTGGGGCATTTAGTGTTTTCCACAGCGATAAACCCTAGAGGAACTGGAGCTGGAAGCTGGTGGCACATTGGAATTATTAAAAATTGATTTGTATGGGACAGTCTCTTTTTAGTGTCTTTTTTTCTTAATCTCTGTTACCTAGAACTCATTTCTCAAAGACAGAGTTAAGGTCCTCTTCCAGGTGCTGGTCCCATCTGGCTAGGGGATCCCTGCCTATCCTTATAGACTCTCCTCCTGAGTCTTCTGGCCACAGAGAAAGTCAGTTCCGTTCAGAGAAGCGTAGCCTCCCTTGCATTCTCAGTGGAAGGAGGGAGAGGAGAATTCCCTTATCTCCAAACTTGGTGTTGAGGAGGCCAGCCAGCCCATTTGGGCTGCTTATGGATTCCTGCCAGTCTTTCCGATGAAGTGAATAAGGGCAGGTCTAGGTCATGAGGCAATAAGCAAAGGACTCCTTGCCCTCCATTATAAAGGCCCACCCATCTCTGGCCCATTTACACACACCTTATTCTAGAACTTCAGGCAGGAGTCCCAGTCTCTCCTAGAGTTCAACCCCAAAAGGAGCTTCCCATGCTCTGTCCATGGCCCAGTGTCTTTGCCAGGTCTGTGGAAGATCTTCCAGAGCCAGGAGCAGGGCATTGTTCCCAAAGATAGTCTCCTTTGGCTGCTTGTCCCTTTTTTATGCCCAAACTCCCACTATAATTCCTGCTGGGTTCATTGAATCAGGTGCTTGGAAATTAAATCCAATTAAAGAGATTAAATGTGTTGGGGTTACTTTAGCTGAAGCTTTCAGTCTCAACAGGTTACTCCTCCAAAGGACTCATTGGGCAGGTAGGGATTACTTGGGATACTGCCACGGTACTATCTAGACCCGCCAGACACTTCCCTCCTCCCCATCCTCTTGGTGGTAGGTGGAGCGCTCTTGGGCTAGGATCCCAGGCAGCATTCTGGGGAAGGTCAGACGAGTAGGTTCAGTCGTTCAGTAGCCATTCCTGGGAGCCAGAGGTAGCCAGTTCTGTGCAAGCCTCTGGCTTCAGAAAAGGAGCTAATCTAAGGGAATGGGGCTCATAACAAGAACATTTATTCCCCACTCTGGATGCTCACCCTCAGTTGCTCCCGAAAGAAATCGTATGTTAAACAGAAGGAATCTATGACAGCAGGTGACAAAAGAGAGAAGGGCAGGAAAGTTGTGGTGAGGGGAGAACAAAAGAGCAAGCAAGTCTTGAGAAACTGACTTGTTTTACTTTCTTTTCTTCCCAGTTGGCCCATGGGGGTCATTAGATCAGGGAAGAAGGCACTCGGAAAGTGAATGGGCCCAGAGCCAACGCCCTGGAGTGGGTGAGGATTGGGGTCCTTCTGAAAGAAGAGAAAATTAGTGCACTGGCTTCAGATGAGCCTTATGAGAGGCCAGGTTGACCTTTCCTTTGCATCCCCAGTCCCCTTCAAGCAGGGTGAGCATTGGAAGGGGCCACAGAGACCCATAAATGGAAGAACAAGAGTATATAGGGGCTAACGTGGAGACTGACGGACAGGGGACTTAGAGACATACCCCAACCGGTGCTGACAGTCGGGGAAGGAGTGCCTGTGAATTGCGGGTGGGGTTTCCTCACTGGGGGGGCCTTTCTGGCCCTGCTCTCCTGCACCCTCGAAGACCCATGGCTTCAGCTTTAGGGGGTAGTGTTGCTGGAGAGCCAGTCTCCCTCCTCGCTCTTTCTAGCTCACCCTTTCACCGGTGCCTCCCCCGAACTGCAAAGAGGAGGGGGCGGGGGTAGGGGGAACCAATCCCGGCAGCGCCAAAGGGGGGAGGCGGCGGTGACAGCCGCGAGGAGGGGGCGGGAGGAGAGAGGCGGCTGTGCTCCGGCTCTGCGCTCAGCTCCGCTCAGTCTCCGGCTCTGCTCTTCACCTACTACCCAAGCCTCCCTCCCGCTCCTGCCCCACGACCCCGGGTGGGCCTTAGACCCGGACCAGGTCCCCGGACTCTCAGCCCCAGTCCCGACTCTTCCAGCCCGCAGCCCCTGCAGCGCTCTACGCCGCCAGGGGGCGCCGTGTGAGCGTCCTATCCTGGCCACCCGGCGCCCCCTCCCACTGCCCAGGCGGGACGGGAGTGGGGCGCCGGGGGCCATGCGGGGCCAGGGTCGCAAGGAGAGTTTGTCCGATTCCCGAGACCTGGACGGATCCTATGACCAGCTCACCGGTGAGTGGGTGGATCGGGGGTCACGGGAGGGAGGGTAGATTCCATCCCCCCAGACCCTTAAGCCTCTGATCCTGGCCAAGCCCTTACCCACACTCTGCCCCATTTTCAAGCACCCTCCTGACTGTTCTGGGCCCCAGGACACTGGAGTTCAAAGCTTGGGTCCCACGGGGCGGGGTGGGGGGTGGCAGGGGGTGGGGAGAGCAGGTGGGCAGGTGGGGAGAGGCAGCAGGTGTGGGCGGGTGTGACACAAGGCTAAGAGGATATCTGGAGTGGGAGGTGTTACGTGCGTGAGCGCCTGTCATTCTTTGTGTGTGTCTGTGTGTATATGTGTGTGTTCCTCCCACAGCTGGTTGCCATGTGCCCTGAGCTTGGTGACAGCCAGGGTGAATGTGATTATATGTGGCTGTACAATTGTATGATCTTGTCAGATGTTTGAGTGAGGTTGTTTAGGACTCTGATCGTACTAATGAAGTTGTTTTCACCATGTGTTTCTATTCTATGTGCAACTCTACATTGAGTGTGATTCTGTATGAAGTGGCATGTGACTTCCAGAACGTGTCAGGGCTTCACTTTATGATGGCATGTCTCTTTGTAAGACTTTGTGAACCTCCTGAGGCAAGCATTTGTGAAGTGGGTTGTGTTATGTTTTGTCTTTGTGAGACTGCGGGTTACGTTGACATTTGATGCTGATTGTGTATTTTCATGTAGTGGTGTCTTCAGCGGGGCTCTGTGTCTATGACATGTCTTACCCTAGCTGCCTCTCTGGCTTTCTGGTGCAGAAGTGGGTCTTTAGCATACACCACTGCTTCCCCCACATTTTCCACAAATAGCCCAGGTGGACCCAAGGAGGGACTCCAGGTGGACCCCAGGAGCAGCACCTGGATCTTGTAAGGAGGCTTTGGTTAGTGTTAGGTCAGCCCCTCCCTCCCCTCACCCCGCATAAAGTACTCAGATCATTTTTACAACTGAAGCTCTTTCAACCCCCAACAACCCTCCCGAACCTGGAGGAAAACACACCCTCTTGCCTCCTCTCCATACCCAGAAATAGAAGCTCCAGGCCCGAGAGGTGCTATGTGGCCTCGCTTTATAAGTGACCCCCCAAACCACTTTGCTGCCCAGGCATCCTCTCCCACATTGGGGAGGTATGTGCAACCAGTACATCTGTGCCTATGCACATTCCTGGGTTGGTAGGCAGATCCTGTTTTTGTGTGGGTGACACCATGTGCACATTTCCATGTTTGTGTGTGTTTCTGTCTCTCATTCTACAGCCTGCCCAAGAACTCCAATAGAGAATGGGAGGAGGAAGACTGTCTCACCTGTGTCTGAAACAAGCAAGGGAGGTGGAGGGAGGACATGATCCTTGTCCTGAGCAGAGTGAGATTAAGACTTGGGGATGGGGGAGAAGACTGACTAGGGTGTAATGCCTTTAGAAAGTGTCTCCCCACTCACTGACCCTGGTGAGGTCCTAGTCCCTAAGCCAAGACTCTCAGAAGAGGGAGCCTTTCCACTCAGGCAAGCCCCAAATGTGCCTCAGACTTGGGTGGAATTCAAAGGTCCAGCTGTAGGTCTGCTTTGAACTCTGTTATCTCAGGATCTTTGAGAAGTAGTAAGGGCCCTAGGGCCCTCATCAGCACCACATTAGTCAGTGTTTGCTTCCTGCTTTGATTTTCCCCTTTTTACTGGAATCATCCCCTACCAAGTTGGCTATTTGAATCAGAGATTACTTGGGTGAAGGATAGAAGCACTTGTATTGGAAGGTGCAGGAATGAAGTGTGAGTACCAGCTATATATGACTTTTGTTCCATCTGGGCCTCACTTTCCTCATCTGTAAAATGGAGAATACGACTTCTTGCCTGCCTCCCAAGGGAAATAGAAAGGTCAAATATTGGCAAGCGTCAAGAATTGTTGTTTTCCACATTATGAGCCTCCTCTCTGTAGATAGCTCTACACACGATTTGGAAAGAAGAAATAGGACTACTAAGAGCTCTCCTTTCCAAGGAGGGCTTATCAGAGCAGGGGACAAAAGTTGGGACGCCCCCTATATTAAAACTCAGAGTGCTCAGTGTTCTTGGAGACGACCTGAGCGGAAGGAAGCCTGAAGGGGAGTCGTTGTCCGCGGTGCTGAATAGCACGCCGGGAGGAGGTGCGGCCCGGCCACGGAGATCCCAAAGTTCCTTCTTTGTGCAGGTGGGATTCCTGGAATCGGAAATGGGGGGTAGTCGAGGCTTCCATTGTCCCATCCCATCAGACTCTTAGGGAGGGGGTTTAAAGTCATACCTCAGGGCATCCTCCATTCTTCCGACCGCTTTCCTTACCCACTCCCACCCCAGGCTCAAAACAAAGACGGAGAAGACTTTTAAAGGGAAAAAAAGTCCGAGAGCCACCCCGCCCCGCATCTAACCCCTCTGGTCTTCCCAGCCCAGCAGAGCCGCTGGGCAGCGCGGTGGGGTGGGAAAAGTCAGCGATCAGCGGTGTTCCTGTCCGAGCTGGAAGCAAAGAAAAAGGACTGGAGAAGATGAGGAGAGAGTTGGGACTTGGCTGGCCAAGGCCTGAGCTCGGATCCCTGGGCCTGGTATCTTGGAGTCGGGTTCCTCTGGCCATAAATATTGTTCCCCGGACTGGAGCGCCCCCGTGTGGTCCTAGAAGAGCCATGCCTGCAGAGTTGATTCTGAAAGGGGATGTCACTAAATCAAGTAGCAAGATTTGTGTGGAGTTCAGAGGTGACTCTCGCTTCGTAGATGTAGGATTTTTAAGCCAAATATACGGGATCCAGTCGGAGGAGTGGGACTAAGTCCCTTCAGCAGGTTAACCCAGCAGTCTGAAGGCGTTAGTGGGTCTTGGAAGGGGTTTACTTCGGGTATAACGAGATAGGGTTGAGTCCAGGAAAGGGGTCAGGGCTGGGACTGAAGGGAGGGCAGCTTCATGACGCATTTGGCTGGCAATCAGCGTATGATGGGAGTCTGTGAACCCAATGGACCAGGACAGAGGGACACAAAACAGAAACCGCTATGAGAGAAAGGGATTCAGTGTCAGGAGACAGAGACCACGGCACATCCCTGCCGCTTCTTCTTTGTCACCCATTTACCCTGGCCAGTTACTCCTCCTCCCTTCTCCTCTCTCTCCCATTGGTCCAGGAAGTATGGAAGTGTGGGAAGTTTCCATGACAACTGTGGCCTCTTACCCCCTTCTCATTTCTACCAAAATGGGAGGAGGAGGGGTGTGAAAGGCAGAGAAGGAGGGGCTGAAGAAGAGCAATGAAAGATAAGGTTCATTTCCCCCTCCACCTCCTTTTTCAAAACCTGTGAGTGTCCCCCTTCCCTACCAAAAATCCTGAAAATGTTACCAAAGAAGGCTGTAAGGAGAGTCCGCGCTGCCCCCTCCCATCCCCCCGCCCCAGTCTAGGAACTTAAGGGGCGGGTGCTTTAGATGATGGGGCCAGGGTGAGTTCCCCTCGTGCGGCCAGGAGAAGGCAGGGAACAGAACGAGGCTTTGCTGTCTGAGATCCTGGTCCTGCCGGTCCGGCCCTCCCGCGCCGCCCACGCAGGGCCCACTCGGGTTGGGGCGGAGACCCGACCACCCCGGGCCTTGGGGGCGGAGCTTGGCCACTGTGCTCGCGGCGGAACCATGAACCATTGCCCCCGCAGGTGCCGGAGCCCATTGGGACAGGCAGCGCGATCCCTCTACCAGCTGGTGACTGGGTCGCTGTCGCCAGGTATGAGAAAGGGAGGAAGGGGCTGGACCCCTCAAAAAGTGAGCGAAGTGGGATAGGATCCTTACAGAGGTGGGGAGGGAAAGGGCCCCTCACAGATGGAGCAGGATGTCTCAAAGAAAAGGGTTTAAAGGGCAAGACCCCTTACAGAAGTGGAGCTGGGAATAGGATCCCTTACGGAGAAGGTGGAAGAGACAAGAATCCTCAGGAGGAAAGGAGAGGGGGCATCATGGTTCTTCACAATGGTAGAGGAGGGAGCAGGGTTTCTCACTGAGGTAAGAGGAGGGTGCCTCAAGCAGGTGGATGTGAGGGTTCTTGCCCCTCACAGGGACAAAAGGAGGAAGCTTGTAGCAGAGAAGGAAAAACGCACAGCCCTTTACTGAATTGCTTAATTTAATGGGATCTTAAGATGACTGGGTGAGGGTCCAGAAAGTGAAAATCCCCAGGTGGGACTGGACTAACATGAACTCAGCTAGCGAGTTCATGCATGAGGGGATGGATAGACTTGTGTGGCATAAGGATGGTATGGCACCATTTTGTCTATCTCTGGGAGTCTGTATTAAGGGGATTGTGCATCACTGGAGTTGTGTGTCCCTGGGGTTGCATATCCCTGGGATTCTGTGACACTGAGACTGCATGTACTTGGAGTTCTATGCTTTAGAGTTGGATTGGGGGTTCCTGAGTCACACTAAGTTCGTTGTGTAGCCTTCACATGGTTTTACCTTGGTGTGGGCTTTGTGGAATTTATGACATGGGGATTGTGGGTATCATATGGTACTGCTGAGGTCTGTATACACCTCCATTTGGGTTTCCTTAGGACTGTCTTGACAGGGTCCACAGAACCCAGCATCCCCTCCCCACCTGGCCTGGGGAGACCAAAACAACCTAGAGCTGTGGCATTCTGGGATTTGTAGTTCCCTGGCTCTCTCCATGGTATCCACTTGAGTCCCTGGAGTATAGCAGGCCTCTTCTTGCCATGTGCTCCCCAGAAGAAAGGGAAATGGGCTGAGCCAGAGTCATACTTGGAAGTCTCTTGGGGAGCATGTATCTCCCAAACCCACTGTTTGGGCCTGTCTCTAGTGACAGATGGCTAGAGCCAGGCGGGGCCAGCTCTCAGTCATAGCAGGCATGACTTCCAGGCCCCAAAATAGCCCCAAGGCCTAGGGAGTTCATTAATCACCTGATACAGCTGGGGGCTGCTGTGTCTTCAGCCTGGCTGGGAATGGACTGAGGCTGGGGATCTGAGAAGGGCTTTGGGATCTTCACTGGAGGAGCAAGGACAGACAAGAAAGTAGGACAATTGCATGGGTGGGGGTGAGGGTGTTCCCCCATAAGGCAGTATTACCCCAAGTTTGAACAACTAAATGACATGAGATTTGAGGGACCCAGAGAAGGCCTACCTCATGCTTCAAGATAGTTTTCCCTTGAACCCTTACCCTGCCTAAAGTGCTTCCATTAAGACTTCACTTCTTTCGGTGAAGAGCTAAGTGCAGCTGTGTTGCCTCTTTCAGTCCAAATAGCCTGGCTTGGAATTCAAGGCTCCATGGAATCTGACCCTTTTAGGTCTTATCACTTATAACTCCTCCAACACAAACTAAACTACAGCCACCCAGGAATCCTTGACACCCCTACATGATTTGGAGAGATAGCTTGAGGGACCTGGAAGATCACTGGTTCTGTTTCAAGTCCTAATCCATTTCTTATTATCTGTGTTATCTTGGGAAAATCACCTCTCAGCCTCAACTCCTTCATCTGCAAAATGGGTATATTACTACTCACTCTTACCAAGTCAGCTGTAAACACAGGAATAATAGACCCTACCTCTCAGGTTTAGTATGAGGACTAATTGAGATAATATATAAGGGCCGACCGAGTGGCTCAGTTGGTTAAGAGCTTGCTCAAGATTGTGAGCTCTGAGCAACAGGGTTGCCAGTTCGAGTCCCAGCCCGAGCTGAGCAGCTGCTGAGCTGCCAACAGGTGGCAGGATGGCTCAGCTAAAAAAAAAAATTTTACATATATATATATATATATATATATATGTATGTATATAAATTATCTAGTAACAAAATGTGCTCAATAAATGTTGATCCCTTTGTTAAGGTGGACTCTTGACATTTTAGCTATCCTTTAAGAACCAGCTCAAAAAGTACCCTCTCCAAGTTTTGCCTGGCCTCCCACTTAGAAACTTTTTACTATAGCTCATGTCATGGCCTGCCTAACAGTTGTGTCATGTAGTAGGCATTTTTTGAATGAATAAATGCCTTATAGTTAGTTCTCTCAGTGAGCTGTCTCTCCCTGGCCAGAAGGAGCCAGAGCCCTGTTTGGTTCACCTTTGTTCCACAGGTACCAGCTCAGAGCCTGGCATTCACTTTGTATAGGTCCAATTTTTTAAACATCTTTGCCCTCTAGGAACTTGGAATCTAGCTGAGGAAGCAGGATTGACCCAGAAAGATCTGGGTTCAATGTCCACCATCTTCTCTTAGCTAGGTGACTTTGAGCAAATCCCTTTACCTCTCTGGGCCTTATTTACCTCATCAGTAATATGGACACAATACTATTGACTCTGCCTACCTCGTGGGGTTGTCATTAGAAGCCATCAAGAGAACAATGTTTATGGAAATGCTTTGTGAATTGGTAAGAGCTATAGATATGTAAGGGGGGAATGGCATATTATTTGTAATGGTAGCAAACACTTCCGCAGTTACTCTGTGCCAGAAGTTATTCTAACAGCTTTGTATGTATTAATTCATTTACTTCTCCCAGCAACCATATGAGGTGGGAAACTGAGGCACACAGAAGTTAAGAACTTGTCCAGTTAATTGCAAGTGGCAAAGCTGCGATTTGAACCCAGGGAGTCTGGCTCTGGCCTACACTATTACCTACCATGCTATACTGCCTCCTTGTACTATTCCTACTAATAACATTACAGAATTAGGTGCTCAGTTTTGAGGCCCAACAATGAATTCAGTAGAAATTCTGGTACCTGGGAGCCTGCTGATGACTGGAGGCTCTGAAGGGAAGGGAATTTAAGCTGCCTATAAAGGTAGGTAAGAACTGTAGGATAGGAGAGCAAAAAGGGAGGGCATTCCAGGCAGAGGGAATAGCAGAAGCAAAGGCACAGAGATAGCACCAAGTTTGGTGTGTTTGGGGGACAGTGAGGGGCCAAACTAGCTGAAAAAAAAGGACCTGCTGGTGAGGGGAAGGGTATTGAACGCCAGATGTAGAATTTGGACTGTTATAGGAAGATGTTTGCTGGTTTCACCTGTAAACCTGTAATCTCTGAGGTGTGAGAAAACCGAAAGAAGTCCCTGAGTTGACTTCTCCCTGAGGGAGGAGGGGAGGGTAAAGTAGAACCAAGCCTGCCTGAGGCTGGCTACCCTCCTTCCCAGTCTTCCTTTCCACACCTCCCTGGGATGTTGGGTAAGGTGTGGTGTGAAATGGACGCCTGACCCCCAGTGGTGGCCTGTAGAATTGCAGATCAGTGAACCTCAAATGAAGGGTTGGGACCAGCTCCCATCCTACCCCCACCCCGCAACTGGGGCTCAGACACACTAATGCCAGAGCTGGACAAAGAGGGAGGGCTCCCTCTGGGGTCAGTCCCCCTAAACTGGGCTTCCTGGGTGGGCAAGCTGTCTAAAAAGGGAGCCAGTGTAATGTAGTGGTTTAATGTGCAGGCTCAGACTGAGTTAAAATTGAGGCTCTGATGCTTATTGATATTGATTTGCTCACCCTCCTTTTGCTTTAGTTTCACTACCTGTAATGTGGGGATAATAGTACTTCCTTCACAGGTTTATTGTGAAAATTCAATATGATAATGTCTGTAAGCACATAGCACACTATAGCACATAGTAAGAGCTTAGTCAGTGTTAGCCAGCTGTGCAGTAACTCAGCAGCTCTGATCTTCAGCACACTGGCTCCACAGGCCTTCCCCGCCCCCCACCTCCCGGGTACTTTCCATTTCCACCACCACCACCACCACCATCACCACCAGTTAGGAGCAGGGAAGTTGGG